GGGTGGGAGCAGGGAGGGGAAGAACATTCATAGAAGCTTATACACACCTCAGCCTCTCCATGGATGGTGCTGAAAAATGTCATCTCTAAGCCCAGAAATGACACTGTCATACTTACAGAACTTTCTGTTGTTTTTTCCCTTAAAGATAAAATCGCTATCTACTGTTGCAAGTAAAGATGACATACAAAAAAGATTTTCAGATTCCAAAAACAGTATGGGGTGGTTAAAGTACTATAGGTATAATCTAGTAGAAATGATGAAGTCTACAGGTAAACTCTTCGAAAATAAGCTCCTTCGAATCACTGTCTTGCAACTTGTTATTATCGCAACTTTATCATTTGGGTAAGTCTTTACTTTATTCATTTATTTCAGTTGTTTGATGGCAAAGAAGGGGGCCATGGTTTTTAATGAGTTCCAAGTCAAATAAAAAAAATTACATTATTAATGTCTTATCAACATTTTAGGAAGTTACTTCCATTATACTGGATAAATATTAATATTATTACAGAATTTTGCAATTATTTTCATGTTTGTTCCATTATTTATGGACCCTTCCACTGTGGTCAGTCCATGAGTTAAATTTTTGTTAGGTGATTGCTGTTATTACTATATTAATATAGTTGTACATAAATTGTTACTTTAAGTAGTACCAATGTCATAGCACCACTGCACGTTGCATTCTGCTACACAAATCCTTATTGATTGATTTTGATTTGATCAATTAATTATACTTGTATTCCATTGTTACTGGCATTATGATATATATTATCAATTTTTAAAGGGGCTCAAAATCAGGGAGGTGCCGATTGTGAAACAATACCTTAGGGGTGGAAGGATTACCACGAAAATTTTGTTTTCTAGATGCCCCAAAGTAACCTCTGAGGCACTTCGGGCAATCATTAATTTCTTTTTTTTTCTTCTTTTTTTTTTAAACTTTCTAAAATGGAGTATGGGGCGGGCTCGTCCCCCCACCCCACCCAACCTTAAGTCCGCCCCTAAAGTGTGAAAATAAACACCAACTGTTAGGTCTGTCCACACTATTAAAATGTAGGTGACCTTTGATCTGTATGATATCATCATGTTCATATGTAGGCAACAATCACAGAAATGCTTTATGACTACCCTAGATCAAGGTTATTGACTTTTCTTTAGATATTATGGGATGTATATGTGGTTTCCAGTGCTGTTTCAACAGGTAGAGCAAACAGGATCAGCATGCCAGGGTCGGCATGTTACCAGTAACAACACCTGTATTGATGGTCTTCCACACTATGATGCAGCTGTTTACAAAGATTCATTTTACACTGCAGCTGCCAACCTACCTGGAAATATATTGGCTACATGTCTAATTGATACAGTGGGTAGACGTTCACTTGTCAGTAAGTGTTTCTATTTTATATCAGGTTTTTGTGAAATGAAAAAATGCACAACTAATCAGAGCTCAGAAATCATACCGAAGATTTGATTCGCGCGAATAAATTTGCCTAGTGGAAAACGGGCTCAAGTCACTAATAATCAATATAACTGATGCTTCACTGAGTGACCGGGGTTAATAATGTAAACTGCATAGGGGCAGTTTATTGCAATATGCGCTATATAAATGTTAGATTATTATTCTCATTGTTATAAATTAACATCAGTAAATAACAACCAATACATTTCAACAGCAATAAAAAAAAAAAATTAATACACTACTGGGGTGGTAGGAGATATGGGGAGTCCACACCAGCTCAGCCCGACCATGGTTGAGGCTAAGGTGAGAACATTTTAGGAATATGGACTTCTAGGTGCCATGAAATTGCACTCTCCTACTTGAAAAATCTTATTTATATGCTCATAATGATAAAAATAATATATCAACAATACAATACAACAATTATTATTCATAACACAATTTAAGGGGTGTGATTGTATCATCTGCAAACCGCCCCCTCCCCCCGCTGCATGCATCCCAGCACTATATCACCAATCTGTATCTCATTGTAATAATATAATAATGTGTGGCTTGCAGTCAAACAAAATATATTCATAATGTAAATTATAAATGATCAAATTCCAATTATACATTTGATAAATTATCACAATTTTACAGGTAGCAGCTTGATATTGTCTGGAATTTCTGTCTTTTTCATTTGGTTGGTGGAAAACAGAACTCAGGTGTTGATAATGTCTTGTATATTTGGTGGCATCAGTACTATCGCTTGGAATTCTTTCAATGTTTTGCAGGTAGAGCTTTACCCTACCCACCTCAGGTGAGAATTTTTAATAGCAAACCAATCATATACAGTACGTGTGTTTTGTATTTTTAACTGTTGTAGTTGGCAGCAGATACTTTAATTTTTATTTTTCTTGTGTGCATTTTACTCCTTGGGCAACAAGACACTTATTCCAGGGATCCCAAAATCTCCTGAAACTTGCGCAAGACTCCTGAAAATCAAAAGAGCCCCCTGCACTCCCGTTAAAGCAAGTAAGAATTTCCTGGAAAATAACACATCTCCCGCAAATTCATTGTACCCTACTGCTTTATTATCAGTTGTCTCACGGGAGTCAATGCCGATGGTTATCACTATGTGCAGCAAAATGAAATTAGATATTTTGCGAAAGTTCATTTAACCAAATCTCCCAACAGTGACTTCTTCCAACTGAACAGAATGACCCCTGCTCATCCATACCACTCATACGTATAATATTTGGCTACCTGGTAGGGTTACTGTAGAATTCTAGTCCATTGATTAGCTTCTGCAACGTTATAGAATACTCCCTCCCCAGGGCTGTTATTGTTTCATAGGTGTTTAACCTGTGACCAGTATAATAGTGTGAGGCACATTGAGGCATCAGCATAATGCGATATATAAGAAAAGTTGGTTGAAGAAATATATTTGTGTAATACACTCTATGTTGATTTTTAATTTTTACATCAATATTTTATTTTACAATATTTTTTATCAATATTTTTCATCAATTTTTATTTTTATCAATATTTTTATTTTTATCAATATTTTCATCTAATATTTTACATTATAGGTCTACAGCCATTGGTGCCATAGCACTGGCAAACCGGATTGGTGCTATCTGTGGTAACATTGCCTTTGGTGCACTTATTGGACTTTACTGTGCGGTACCAATATTTATGGTTGCAGTTCTCATGGTATTTGGAGGTATAGTTGTCTGGGCATTACCAAATACAACACGCAAAGCTCTAGAATAATAGTCATCAAATAATTAAAAGTACTGAGTTACTAAATGGTGTTGGAAATGACTTTTAAATATTTTTATAATTGACTTTGGTAAACAATGGATGGTAAGTAGATTTATACAGGTATAATGTTTTTAGTAATAAAAATGTAATTAATTTGTTGTTGTTAAGATTTAACAAACTATCCATGTTTTTTAAAAATTTTGAATTATGCACCATCCCTTAAGTTTATATATAATATATAAATTTGTGTTACACTCATATACTTATATAGATTTATATTCTGCACAAATTTTAAAAGTAGATATAGCCACTTGTTGCATTTTATATTACAATATTTTTTATACAGAAAAATACATTTCATATGATATTTTCATATACATTAGTTTTTGGTTTGTTTTTGTTTACCTCTTGTTTGGTCATAGGGTGGTTATTATTACATTATCATCATAATTGTGATGAAGTCATTATAATAAATGTATTGTTGAAGTTATTGTTATGACATTATACCTATTCATCACATCAGATGACATTGAAATAATATTCCTTTACTGTTTAACATCTTGAGATGTACGTTTATGGACCTTTCCGTTAAACCCCTGACCCCAGATACTGTTGGATAAGGGTCCACAAAACGAAAGCGTAAATGAACGTAAACCTGTGAATTTTTTGTGGAACAAAGCTTTTACGTTTACTTTGTGATCACAATACCATCATGTTATTTTTAGTGTATTGAATGTGAACACAAGACTGATAGAATTATTGTAGGCTTCTTTCTGGTGCAATAATGATTTAATTTGCAATGTTGTTATTTGATCTTCAAATGTTTTCATAAATTGAAGAAAAAATATATTTTTTTTTACATTTTTAAAATTTAAAAGGACGTAATTGATAGCTGTGAAAATATAAATAGATTATTTACACGCTTCCTTAAGGCTGATAAATTTTGCATTTTTACACAAATGTATTTGTGATACAGCAATGTATTATGTACCCAAACAGTTGATTGATTGACTTGTAAGTGTATAGTTTGCTGGGGCGGGAGCAGGCGGTGTGAATGCCCCCTCCCCCCTAAATTGTAGTAAAAAAATATGATATATCATTTTTATCATTATGAACATAGTGATTTTATGAGAGTTTGAGAGTGCAATTTCTGGAAATATTTTAAAAATGTTCTCACCTCAGCCCCAACCGTGATGGAGCTGACTTAGTGTGGACTCCAATACATCCCACTCTCTGCCAAATCCTGCATCCACCTCAGGTATTAAAATATAAGAGTGTGGACTTGGATTATGTTAGAAAGAGGATGGACTTGGATTATGTTAGAAAGGCTCCTTCGTGGCCCTAGTGACGTATAATTATAACTGTATAATTGATATTTTAAGTCGACACATTTGATCATTCTGTTTTAAGCAATCATTGTATTCTTATATATGACATATCATGATGATAAATTCTGAAATTGGCCAGTATGAAATTATCAAATTGTATATAGGATTTATCACAGTGCCTCAATTATGCCATCGTGTCAGTTATGCCATTGTGTTAGTTGGAGATCTGTTTGATTACTATCCCAACGGTTTGGGGTGCTGGTGGGTTGTTGGAGGGTTTATTTATAAAGCAAGTATTAGTTTCGCTGGTCAATTCATTCATATAAAAAACTGTCCTTTTTACCCAGTCAGCAGCATGCTGACTGGGTTCTGTTTTTACAATTTACTTTAAAATTTCGAATATGACAAGAGATGAATAATAAAGTGATACAAGTCTTCCAAGGACACATTTTAAAATAAGCTTTCATTCTATGTCCTTTTGATTGTGAATACAATTGAATAAAATAATATTTAATTATGCAACCTTTCAGTTAATTATTATATTTGTTTGAGTGTATAGTAGGTAAAGGCATTGTATTATTGCAAAGGTTGGTTGTGAGAAAAAATAAAACTTAATTAGTGATTTTACCAGAATGACAGCTACTATGTTCAATGGGGAATGCGGAGTTGATTTGTAATATACAGAACAAAGTACCAGAAATATTTTTATCAGTAACGTTTTTATAAAGACGGTCGATGAGGGTGGCTTGGTAGGTGTTATTCGTGTAATGTATATTATGGGACAAAACTATAAACAGAAATGATATAAAAAAAAATATATCATTATTAGTTACATTATTAAATCAAATTTAATATTACTCATAAAATGTCAGGGTTTGTACTTGGAATTAATTTTGTTGAAGACCTTGTCGATTGATTTGTATAAATTTTCAGTGTTCCCCCCAGGGACTTTACATTATTTCTAAAGTAGTATTTTCCTTATAGAGATTAATTATTTCAATGAAAAGTGATTTACGAGGGTCGGGAGGAAAGCGATAAGAATCTGGACGGACATTAACATAACTTTTTTGTACAAGCGATGCAACGCCACCAAATAGTTACTGTGAATTTCTACAGCTTTTGCACATGTGCACTTGAACAGCACTAAGTTCTCGATGCACCGCAAATAACAGAACAGAAATTAATATGATACACCCTCATTAAGCTTACTTTTATAATCAAGCATGTATATAAACAAAGTAAGCTGTCTAAATATATATGTATATAGTTTTTCTACCTTTATTGTACCATATATATATACTGTATATATATATATATAATATATATATACTATATATATTATATTTATGTATATTTGATAGGCCTAAATATATATACATTATTTAGATATGATATTATTGTTTTATACATATAATATACTATTTATTATCAATTAACGTATTGCTTGGTAATAATAGACAAATTTCCGATCTTGGTGATTGTGTAAATGCCTGGTTTGTGAAATGATAGAATGTGACTCAAAGCAACTAACCTGAAAGAAGTCAGAATTTATGAGTCATACTCAGTGCTTTTCTCCATGGATGTCGCGTTACTCTAGAAACGGAAGTGACAATCTGAACCGAAGTTGTCATTTTTTAGAGAAAAATTAACCGAATTTTACGTGCATGTTTAGCTATCTTAACTCCCTATGCTCCGGAGCTCCAACAATAGGATCTTTAATTCAACGTGTTGACGACAGAAAGAAGAAACACATGTAGGAACTTAATACAGGTATTTCGAGAATAATAAAAGGATGTATGTGGGTGAAATCGCAAATCCAATAATTGCGGTCATTTCTTTCATCTTACCACGGGGTCATACACTGATATAACGTGAATTTAGAGCCGCTTTTTTATACATGGGTTACTTTAAGTTTTTGAACGAACCATGGATTTGGAGATTTTATCATTAGTCTTCATTCTTTGTGGAATTAAGTTGGAGCGTTCTGTAGCACAGATTCCGGATTCAAAGGGAACTCTATCAAGTGCCAGTCCAGATAACCGCATCGATTGCCGATATCCAATACTCGAACAACCAATTGTTTCTGGAAAAGCGTAAGAAATTAACTTATTATTCAGTCTTCTTCTGCTAAAGTAGGCCTTTTGAATATAACATTTTAAAATGTCGCTATTACTTTAATATTTGTCTATGTTGAAAATGTTTTTTGATTGGATAAGTTATTTACGACATTTATGAAGATCATTTCGTCATATCAATACTGCTTCACCATGAGTTTTGAGGTGGAGGTCTGATCTAACGCTTTTAAAATATCTGTGCTATATATATA